ACGACTGAACTCGTGTGTCGCGTATGTTCGATCCTTTAGTAGCCACGAGTGCTGCTGGAGGGTTTACGCACTGTCTTGTGGAGTTTCCCGGCTGCTTGCAAGAGTCCTGGATGCAAAAGGGGCTCCATAAGGGTTTAGGCTTTAGGGCTTAGGGGTTTTAAGGTTTAGGGTTTCATAAGATTTGTTGTGGGGTTTTTGGTAATTAATTAGAGTAGGGCCTACAAGGGTTAGATGGTAATTCAGGGGCCTTAGTAGCAGTTTTTGTTCTGGGCATGGGCAACAACCCAGAGACAACCCCAGAGCGCCGAAGGGTCCAAGAGTTGCAGAAGCCCTTGCGCCGGCTGGCCGCGGGAAACTTTGAGGTGCAGCCGTTGAAGTTGCAAGCAGACAATCCCTAAACTCTAAATCTTAACCCCTATCAACCCTAAACCCTTAAACCCTATAAACCCTATAAACCCTATGAACCCTATGAACCCTATGAACCCTAAACCCCTAAACCTTGTGGACTTGGGGACCCAAAGCTTGGAGGCCGGGCCTCGTTTGTTGATAACCTTCCAAGCTCAAGAAGCCGAAAACCCGAAGAGCGCGGCGCACTCAAAGCTAAGGCCCCACTAGCAAACTGAACTGCACCGTTCCTAGAATGCCAATGCTGTCCTAGACACCTGAAGGCCCCCTAGAGTAATATAGGGGCCTTTCATAAGTATACTATAATGGACCCCCAAAAGCCTACTCAACTCTAATAATATTAATTCTGATGATGATGATGATGATTATTATTATTAAGGCCCCACTTAGTAGAATCCTGGGGCTTCAGCTCGGTTGTGACTTGCGTTTTTCCCCTCTGTTTTTCGATCGGAGTCCCCAGTACTAGCCGCCCTGTTTGGGGGCCAGGTGGTGGTGAAGTCAGCCTTAACCGGCGAAGTCTTGTCCGTGGAAGCCGTGGACTGTCAGGGCACCCAGTTCAGGTTTAGTGCGGCTGTCGAGAGCTGAACTGAAGTGCATGATTCAGAGCTCTGGGAGCATGGCTCAAGTCGCCCGAAAACTTTTGCAACATCCAACCGCCCATTTCGAGTTTAGCATGGTTTAGCAGGCTTCTGCATAGGTCCCTGACCGTTTTGCTTCGAGCCTTTGATGCCCCCAAGGCATTACCACCGCCCTCGAGCTTAGCCTGGTGATCCAGGCCCTGTTCCGGACCTTCGAAAAATTCCGGTAGTTGCACCCTAACCCCCCAGTTACCTACTATATAGGGTACTAGAGCCCCTAAGGCCTTATATAGTAGGTACCTGGAGGGCATAGAGCCTTTTTCGTAGCGCTTGTTCAGCTGACGAAGTGTCGAGGACAATATGCCCGCATGAGCCATACAACATCCTAAACAGACCCCTCACCGCCCCCAAACCCAAAGCCTGGTTAAGTTTGGCGGGGGGCTTTTTGAACACGCAGACCACCAGGCGCTAAATGTAGGGAGTGGCTTTAATAACTAGAATCGGGTTTTGGTTGTTCCTTATTATAATCATAGTATAATGGGCCCCAAAACCTTATTATAATTATTATGGCCCCGGTATTACTAAGACTGCCAGCCCCAAGAGGCTCAACACCGCTTGGCTTGCCGACCGACGCTCCTGCTGGACGATGAGGTCATGAATCCTCTCCATCGGCTGGAGCAGGCAGGGTGTTCCATCATCAGTGATGTCAGGAGAGACCCGGGTTGCTCTAGCTAAAATGCCGAATCGAGCCTTCTTTTGCAAACAGGGGCAGTTTTATGAAAAGTCGGCGCTCTGCTCTCCGAGGTTGGAGTTCAATCCGGCAGCCAGCTTTCAGCCGTGATCACAGAGCCTGCGGCATTCTGCGTCGCAGGTCTGCCGGAGGTTGGGCTAGGAGAGCACAAAGCCCTGTGCAAGGACTTGAGCCTACACGAGTGAAAGCAGTGCTTTTACTTCGCCGTGATCAAAGACTAGGGCCTAGGGGGGACGAGTGCTGATGAAGTACTTGTAATTATCAGCTGATGACTGACGTCGCGAACGATCTCAAGACCATGTTAAGGGTGCCCTGCAAATCAGCAAGGAACCACTTGCTGCGCTACTACATCCACACCACTCCTCCTGTTGCCCCATACCTTCCATGCCTGCCGAGTGGTCGTACACAAAGCTTCATCATTGTGACCTTGAGTGAGCCTTGAATTTGCTTGATAGGTCTGATGCAGGTCCTCTCAGGGTCTGCAGAGTAGAACTGGAGACCTTTAAGCCCACAGCCCAACCCCAAGGACTCCAACGAGGTTCAGCATGTGGTTCGGAATCTCCACGGCAAAGTGGCAACCCTGAGCGGGACCACTAATGCTCTCATGGCCTTTGAACTTGGAGAAACAGAGAGGCTTTTGCAGGAAGGTGTTCATGAAGCTGCGATTCTCCGGGCCATCACAGAAGAAGCTCAGGTCTGGAGACAGGCCGCACAGAGTAGGCCGTGCTGACCCATGGGCTGATATTCCTGAACTCCTAGGTCTCGGATGTCGAGAATGGTGTCATGGCGAAGACGATTCGAAGACCACTTCCAGCTGCTTCGGATCAATGGGCTACTGGATCCTCTCGGCATTGAGCGACGAGTATCGCGGTGTCTTCTCGGTTGTCCTGACTGCATGCTACTTGGAGGAGAGCAGCCGGGGCTTTGAGCTCAGTGAGCTCTGGTGTTGTTTACCTGCCGGTCCCCTCATCAAGAGGACGACATGAGGCCTGAGGTCTCTCTAATCTACCTATCCCTTCTCGTCGCGAAGCCTTGCCTTCACGCCGAAGATGTGCGACGGCGACGGCTCTCTCGAGCAAGTTTTACCGGTCTTCGATCGGGCTCATCATTTCGTGCCAAGTTAAGCACGATCACGAGAAAGAACGCAGCCAGAGCTTGATGTCTGAAATACTCCATAGGGTCTACAAAGGGCAAAAGGTACTTCCACAGAGTTGGCTACATTTGATGACCACAGTATACAGCAACATCGCAACATGAACTTACGTACTAAAGGTTACAAGTTGCAAGCCTAGAAGCCCATTTGCCGATGCGGTTTATTGACATGTTGTCTCTGGCCCTTGAAGTAGCCCCCCATGGTAGCTGAAGCAAAAGTAAACGCTTACCATGGGAAAGTGGGCGGCTACTCCGAGTCCTACTTGGAGGTTCATGGGTAGTTACTTGGAGGGTCGGGGGACTTAGTAAATCGTTATTTTATAGACTTGTAAGTACTATAACCCCAATTAGGGTCCCTTTTGGGGTACTTATAAGTCTACTTATTGTCTACTTACTAAGTCTCCCGACCCTCCAAGTATACATAGGGCTATAAGTGAGGTAACTATACTTATAACCCATATTAGGGGACTTATCACCCAACTTAGAAATACCCATGAACCTCCAAGTAGCGTTTTTTTTCCAACGGGTGTTTCGGCTGTTTGGTATAACTTAACCCATGAACACACGACAGGTCCTGTGCCAGCTCTGCACTCCTGCGAAGTTCCGTCGATGTTGGGGCAGAAATCTGCCAGCACTTGCAAGAAGAGTAAGCACCAGAGGTTACAGAAGTAATGCTCACACTAGCACGCTTACTCCGTAGTTGCCGGGAAAGTTGTTTGCCAAGAGAGTTCAACATCCATCCCCGTCCCCCCCCTCCCCCCAACCCCCAACCCACCTCCCTCTCCCCTCCGCTTCGCATGCTGCCTCCCTTGGACTCTCTTCGTCAGGCCCTGAAGTTGGACGATGTCTTTTCCGAGGACTTCAGTTTTGTCAGGCTCCATCCTGGCGCTGCCTGGTCACTGGCCTTGAGACGGGAAGTGAGATGTTGAGGCTAGACCTCTAAAGCTCAACCCTAAACCCTAAACCCTAATTAAAGCTCAACCCGAGCCTTGCCGGCCTTGTGCGAGTGTGAGAGTCGAAAAGAGCCCTTAAAAAAGCTTTCAGGGCCGAAGGGCTTGTGGCCTGCTCGAAGGACCAGCTGCTGCTGCAGGCGACTTTGACGGCATCCTTTGCACCGTTTCTCTGGCATGGGTTGAAGAGCGGAGAGAGGTATGTAATAGTGTAGGGTTCAGGGTTGAAGAGAGGTGTGTAATAGTGTAGGGTTCAGGGTTGAAGAGAGGTGTGTAATAATGTAGGGTTCAGGGTTGAAGAGAGGTGTGTAATAGTGTAGGGTTCAGGGCCTGGGTTTAGGGTTCAAGGCAGGTTTGCGACGAGGTTGTGGAAGTCTAAGACTTGTTGCCAAGCTACGACCAGCTGCGATGCATCAGAGGCCAAGGTAGGCAGCCTGCAGACTGTGCTTTCGGTGCTCAAAGTTCTTGATGCTGCCAGGTTCTATGCCCATGGGATCACCAGATGCCCGGGCCTTCTTTGATTGACGAACACGCTTCGCGGCATTAGCGGTAAGTCTCGAGTCGCAGAAGCGAGTTTAGACGTCAAAGCCTCCCCACCCCTAAGCCCGAAGCCCAGCTCTCACGAGTTGACCACCTTCTCCATAAGAGGGATGATGGACCTTAGATGTTATATAAACCCCTACCCCCCGACATACCTACAAAATAGGGTACTAAAGCCCCTAGGGCCCTATATAGTAGGTACCTGGGGGGTTGGGAACACGAAGACCCACGGATTCACAAGTGCTCTGCAGCCAAAGGCATGGACTACACCTCTGCCCTGAAGGGACCGCAGACGAGCCGGAGGGTGTCGAAGAGCTCTGGCCCCAGAAACCCCAGGGTTTAGGGTTTAGGGTTTTAGGGTTTAGGGTTTAGGGCTTAGTACTTAGGGTTTAAGGTTTAGGGTTTAGGGACTAGTAGAGCTGTTCTTTTCTGGTCAGCCTGACTGCCCGTCATACCGAGTAGTTGTCGTACTAGCATTGGTAGTACCATAGCACATATGAACACACACACACACACACACTTCTCTCTCTCTCTCTCTCATATATATATATATATGTACACATACACAGACGTAGATGTACAGGTATATCATGTAACGATGTAACATAATACATTTGCATACAGTACCATACAATACAATACATTACAATGCAATACAATACAATACAATACAATACAATATACATGTAAATGCAAATATAGCTATGAGTATAAAAACACGTATAGATATCATTTAATGTATACATAGGTGTATTTGTTCGTTTGTTGGTACGCATGTATGTATGCATGCATGCATGCATGGCTGGCTGGCTAGCTTGCTTGCTTGCTTGCTTGGGTTTGTTCGTCTATTCTCTTGTGTAACCAGGCCTTCCAAATCCTTGAAGCCCCACGCACAAGGTCTGGACGAGAGCAAGGAATCGACAGAGGATCAGGCTCCGTTCTGCAAGTACCCGAAGAGGTCTCAGGGCTCTTTGCTTGAGGAGCCCAGGGCTTAGGAATGAGGATCACCTGATGTTAGGGCTCTTTGCTTCTGGGTGTCATGGTTGCAGCAGTTTGGCAGGAGAAAGGGTTTCGGGTTGAGGTCGTGGCGGTGCTTGAAGTTTTTTCTTTGCACGGCATCAGATACCGTGTCGGGATGTCTGTCTTTCTGGTCTCCGTTTTTTCTCCTATTATTGTCATTGTTTTGTGCTTCCTGCAGATTCAACGACTAGTTACTATCACTTACTCGTACTCCTACAGCACTACCCCCACCACCAACTACCACTACAACTTACTGTAGTTCTACGACTGCTGTTATCGTTCCTGTGATTACTGAGGCCGGGTAGCTACTCGGGGGCGAGCCGAGCCGGGTTGCTCTAAGAAGGTGTTTCAGGGGAGACTGCTTAGGGTATGGCAACAGGAAGCAGGTTAGGGGGCTTCGGGCAGGTGTGGGTGTTCCGGTTTTTGCCAGATGTGGATGTCGCGAAAAAAGGAGTGTTTTTTTGGAAACGCATCGGAAGAAGCGTTTCCTAGTCTTCCCTAACCCCCCAGATTACCTACTATATAGGGTACTAAAGCCCCTAGGGCCCTATATAGTAGGTACCTGGGGGGTTAGGGCTTGTTTGGCATCAGTCACTAACCGCCAAATTCGGCCGCCAAAGGTCGCAGCTATTTCTTCCAAGACGCCCTCGCATCGTAGATGACATTCTAGCTACCTATACATGTGTATGTATGTTCACTTTTATATATATATATATATATGGAAACACGGGCCCTGTTACAGGTACGTTCATGTGTGTCATATAATGTATATATATATATACATACGTATAGATAGATAGTTATATTTCTGTGTGTGTGCGCACACACTACATAAAAATCTCCTAACCCTGAACCCTAAACCCCTAAACCCCTAAACCCTAAACCCTAAACCCCTAAACCCCCAAAGCCCCTAAACCCTAAACCCTAAACCCTGAGACCGGCAAGGCGGAGGCCCAGGTTGTGATGCTCAAAGCGGATCCACAGATTGCGAAGGCCCGCGGTGGCCTTTGTTTCATCTACCCTGGCGCCAGGTCTCGTCCGACCGGCCCTGCATTTGGGTAGTTTTCTAAATCCTTTGCATTCCTCTCTGTAGGGGTGTCATACTATTTTGGGGGACCTAAAACGGGACCCAAATTTTAGTGAACCCTAAACCCTAAACCATAAACCCTAGACCCATTTGCACCGAGAGCTCGAAGCTTTCTCCTCGCAGGTGCATGGCCAAGCCTTGACGAAGGCAGATGTCTGGCCCCAAGGTTCAGATGCTTTGGGCAGACGAGGAGGTTTAGGGTTTAGGGTTTAGGGTTTAGGGGTTCATGTTAAGCTTTGCGGCCAACCGCCAGATGCTCGACCCATGCATAAATGCGCCTGTAGTCAAGACTATAGGCTGCAGGGTTGGAAATGGGTACCTTCGACACCCTGTCCGAGTGGAGGAAAGCCGGATGGAGGAAGAGCTGAAGCTATATGCCTATGTTGTCTCGTTGCACTTGGCTACGTGGCAGCACACTCGTTCCCAAGCACTTGTACTGCAGACATGCCCAACGATCTCGTCGTCCAAGTCGTCGATAAACACCCAGGTATGAACGACCGAAGGTTCAATTGGGCAATAGTTAAAACAAGCAAGCATAATTAAGGAAACAAGCGTCAGGTATGTACATGTGTATTATATATATATATATATATATATATATATATTTGATTATATTTATATTTATATTTCTGCATGTATGCATGCATGTATGTATGTATGTCTGTATGTATGCATCGTCGTATGTATATGCATGTGCATATGTATATGCATATGTACAGGTATACGTATAAGTATGTGGCTAGGTGGATAAGTAGGTAGGTAGCCAGGCATAATGCATGCATGGACTGATGTTTGTATTTCTGTCTGCACATGTTTTTCTGTTTGCTGCTTGCTATCAGTTTGTCATTTCGCTGGTGCTGTAGCGGGACTTGTTCGATCCTGATAGCTCCACATGTTGGGCTTTATGAAGGTGTTACTCACAGAGCAGAGAAGCAAGGCAGTAGCCGAAGATCAGGAACATTATTGTGAACATCACCTTTGCGTTCGTGGGACAACTGCAAGACCACGGTAGTGGGTGGACAGGTTGTTGAGTGCGCAGCTTTGTGTGAACGGTGAGGGCTTTGCATGTCGGGCCTGCTCCATAGCTGCTTGCGCGATGTGTCTACTTCCAAGCAGCTGCCCAAAGACGGCAGTGTGGCAACAAGTATGCCACGGCAAAGTTTGCAATCGCTATTGTCTCACAAGTCATGTATACGACACATAAACCCTAAGCGGCAAACTGGACACATGCTGAATACAGTGCAACATGATTCCATGGGGGGGGGGGCAGCATGACAGTTTCTTCGTTGTGCATCAACAGAAGCCTTAGCTACGCATAATCGTGAGCATTCAGACCCAATGCTTCACCCTGCCGGACCTATAACGTCTAAACCCTAAACCGAGCCCTCAGAGCCGCAATCAAAAAATGAAAGGCCAAACGCGAAACCTCCACAAACTTCGCTTGCCGATAGAACCCTTTCTCCAAAGCTCTGTTAAACTTCCGAATTCAGAACACTCAAACCCTATCAAACATAACCCCTGCAACCCTACTCGCCCCAAAACCACAAGCCCCTTAACCCTACAAAAGCCTACCAGACCCCCAGCCTCAAGTCATGCTTCCTCGGCGCCCCCTGGCGGTGCGGCTGCTCCGAAAGCTTTCCGAAGGCCGCCTCCGAGCCCGGAGTCGGTTCAGGGTTTTCGTGTAGCGAAGGGGCCTTTGTGAGTAGTTTAGAGGCTTGAGGCTTTAGGGTTAGGTTTCTATGATTAGAAGAAGGATGATATCCGGATTGTAATTTATGGGGCTTTTGTAGAGGTAGAATAGGGTTTGGGGCGAGTAGACCTATTTTTGTTTGCTGAGGAGTTCCAAGGAATGTATGGAGTTTAGGATTTTGGGCTTTGGGGTCTAGGTTTTAGGATCTTTGGTTTACCTGCCCAAGTCTCCAGACAGGCGTCGAATTGCTATGCCTGCTGCCCAGCTGATAGCAAAGAGCCTGGGTTCAAAAAAACGATCTTTGGTTTGGTTTGGGGTTCTGGGTTTTGGGTTGTTGAGGGTTTAGCGGTTTTGGGTTTGGGGTTCAGTCCTTGGAGAGTGTGGTTCACGGTTCTACTTCTTATCCAACCCGACCCCGACCATAATTTTGGTCCAAATTCATTACATGGGGTTTGCGTCTAAACGCTCCGAAGGGTTATGTTAGATTCAAGTAGGTGCCAAGCAGGCCTAAACCCCAAACCCGTACAGCGCAGGCCGGGTTGGAGGCCGCTTTGTGGCAGCTACCGCATCTGCGCCAGGCTGTTTGGGAATCGAGATGGAGTTTAGGGTGTTTAAAATTTAGGATGCCGAGATTGGACTTCATCTGTTGAGCCGTAGAATTGGGGCCTTTCTCTACATCTTCAACCCACCCAATATCTCAAAACCGCCACCTAGATGGGCACGAAGCGACACACCACGAGTCAGAAACCGACCCGAGTTTGTTTCTCCTCGGGACTCGAGCTGTCGGACAATGTACATAGGGATTGGTAGCAGGGTTCAGTCTGATGTGCAGAATTGGATTTTCGGGGGAGGGATATTGGGACTGTATCTTACCTGCAAGATAGTCCAGCTTCAAGCTTGCCAGAAAATTATCCGAAAAGTGACCCAGCATCACACTTCAACCTGCGCGGTGCGGCATCGGTTCGGTAAAGCCCGTGGCAAAGCATCCAGAACCGACCTAAGTAATGTAGGGCCTAACGTAGGGGCCTAAATAATTACCAATACTATTTTGGGGGTTCCTTATAAACGATTATGGTATAATGGACCCCCAAAACTCTTATTCTAATTACTACGGCCCCTACATTAAACCCCGAACCCACACCCGGCCTAATTCTCAAACCGAGAGCTGGAGTCTGGGGACTAAGATCTCCAAGCCGAAGCCCTGCACCCCACACGGTTTAGGGTTTAGGGTTTAGGGTTTAGGGTTTAGGGTACTGAACCAGCCCCGAACCGGATAAGCCCGAAGCCCTATGAGCCCTAAAACCCGACAAAAATCGACGAACAAGAGGCCCTAAACCCTAAGCCCTATAAGAAGCCCTCTAAAGCCCGGAGCTCTAAACCCTATTAGACCCCTAAAGCCTAACCCCTAAACCCTAAACCTATATTCCCTATAAGCCTTACAGGAGCCATAATAGATCATAATATACGATTATGACGCATTAGAGTATATAATGCTTGGAGTGCTATGTCGAGGTGCCTGGCCGGGCTCCAAACCTTATCTTCGGATCCACGGGCCTGGCGAAGATGACGCGGCGCTCTTGGAAGGCGCGGGGTCTTGATATGGGGGTTGGCATATGTATATATATATATATACACACACTCTTTATATATAAACATACTTTTCTTGTTTTATGTTATATCATACCAAATAAGGGTGTATCATGACATGAACAACAACATCCGGTTTAGGGTTTGGGATCGCCATATATTTCACCATCCTCAATTTCTCATAACAGCCCTGAGCCCGAACCCAAAAAGGCGCTGTCCTGTTGAGGTTACACTTGCAAGCTTTTTGCCGCCTGCCTCGCTCAGACCAACAGCGACATTTAGGGGTTCTTCGTCTAGGGGTCCCTGTAATTCATAATGACCCTGACTATTACATACCTTAAACTACCAAACCCTACTTTTTTGTACGTTCCTATTATAAGCCCTAATATGGAATTTATAGGGACCCTACAAAAAAGTAGGTTTTGGTAGGTTAAGGTAGCTTAGGTTCTATCTCCTTTATTTTTCTTGAAACCCCTACCTGGCGAGCCTGCTCAGCGAGTGTTTCCTGAATGGTCTGTCGCGCGTGCAGAGCTCCGAAGTATTGAAACTGCCGCTCGAAGGATTTGGAAGCCGATCGCCTGTGCATTGTACCCTTGCTGCGGCCGGCTCCTCATGCCAGCCCTCCCTAAAACCCCTGAACCCCTAGACCCTATACGAACCCTACACCGGAACGCCTGAAGTCCGAGGACCCGGACCAGTAGCACGAACTATGCCCTAAACCCCCCAAACATGAAATCGCCAGTCCCACACTTTTTCTCGCAAATCGAGAAGTGAACCGAAATCGCAAGCTTCACATCCAGGGCTACCCCCGGCGGCCGACGTGGAACGCTGGGCCAAGCGTTGGCGAAGGCGGGTGCCATGTCCGGATGCTTGGGCAGCTCGGCTCGCACGGTGAAATGGCGTGTTTCTAGTGTTGGGGGAGCGGGTTTGAAATTCATGAGTTCATTGAAGGTGTATAGAACATTTTAGGGTTGGGTTTTGGGTTTAACTTGTTACTGAAGTGCTGCAGTTGCTTAGTTTCAAAGCTCCTCGAAAGCGGCTAGAACATGAGAGTCTGGGAGCACTTGGCCTTTGGTCCTGAGACAACCCTCGCAATGTCCGGCTCCGTGGCTTCAGGATTCAATATCTTTCAGGTGGCGGGTGCAGGCCTTGAGTGCCTCTGGAGAGCCATACCTCCGAAGCACACGTAGACTTTCTTTCATGGCTTGGTGTAAGTGGGCCGCACATCGGGGAGTCTGCAGCTTTCAAAGAAGCCCATGGACACGATCCAGCAAACCTAAGACCTAAGAACCTGCTCATAGACAGACAGCCGACCGGGAATCCAGATATTGCTAGTTTTAGGACCGCCGTCATGTTGGGCGGCTGCAGAATTTCAACCCCAAGCTTGGAACAGTTTGCAGCCCACCAACGGGTCCGAAGGTACCTGCAGAAGGTCTTTACATCCTTTGCTTGTATGCGCGGGCTGGCGAGAGTGTCTTCATGGGCCGCTATGAGCCGCGTGCCTGAATGTTGTGGGCTTAGCAGGTCCAGAGGCTCCTACGTCCCAGCCGCAAAAGTTAGAGTAGGGTTGGTTTGGTGATTTTATTGCTCACCTATGGCTTGGAAATTGATGGAGGACGATAGTCTGGT